TATGGTTTCGTTGTGCTGTTTTGATTGTTATGGGAATGTATTATGAAAATGGTTGTGTATTATAATGGCTTTTCAGTTGATTTCTGTTTTTTGCACTAAATGTAGCAAGTAATGCATTTATCTGCACTTCATGTTCATACCATTGTGTTTTTATGATTCAAATAGAAGCTGGGTTAAAAATGCTTAAAATATCTTTGTTATGTCTTGAATAGCAGTTTTGTTTACATGTTTTTTGGTCGATTTACTTTTAAAAGTATACTTGATAAGAGCATATCATGTATTAAACAGCCAAAATACATTCATTCAAAATTTTAATTTTCGAATTAATTTTCTAACGTGTTTAAAGGAAAGTGACTCAATCCCCTTGAATCGTGTTGTAGCCCATAAACTTGTAGTCTGCGCCCTAAAATTAATTCATACGAAATATGTATATCCAAAAGACGGCTCTAAAACACAGAACCCAAGACAATCTAAACATAGGTCTTAATATGTGTGATTGCCAATTAAAAAGAACAGCAAGTTTAATTGATCTAACAAGTCACGCTGTATACACTACAATATCTCAGCCAAAGAAAAACAACACCATGACACATAAAACTGTCCCTAAGCGACTGCATACACAACACCGTGTTCATTATTGTTAATAATCCCATATTTCTTTCACACAAGAGTGACCAAATACCAGGCCCATTGTAATAGCTGCATCTGGCCACCCTGTGTAACACCCTGTAGTGTAATGGCTATATGACTGTGGCCAGGCCAATGGCTTGTATGATGGATCGTCGTGCGGGTAACACCAACATTTATTGAATGTGGGGCACCCCCTCTCAGGGGGGCCTCCATCAGTTGCTACCCTCTAGTTAGCCAGCTGTCCCCCACAAGCTGTGCGTGTGTCCAATGTATACGGAATAATTAATAGTCTCATTACGTATAGCTGTAGCTTGTATCTACGGTATAAGCCACTATGCAAGATTCAACGATACCGGGTAATTGGGGTCTTACGTAGGTGAGGAGTTTTCATGAATGTAAATTTTCCGTGTGGAAAGGTGATTTCAGTTAGGGAAAGTTATCCGAGATTGTTGTGGTGTAGCGGGAATTTCTTTTGCTTTATTAGCCGTTCACGGTTTATGTTGGCTATAAAAGTCAGGAAATTGATCTTTATAACATTACAATATAATATATTTTTTGTAATTAAAAAAGAATTATATGTTACCAATCAGAATGATTTTATTACCAAATAAAACGCCACGTTAAAATTAATTACGCAATAAATAATGTTATTTAACACTCTATAATGAATATAATTCCACTTTATAAAATTTCCTGAAATCATGGTTTACCTTTGCATAGAATGTTAACAGTACATAGCAAAAGTAATGCAAAAGTGTGAAATTTCAAGCTGTTAAGAAGAAAACAGGAAAAGGAAGTTGTTTAAGATACCTGGGAAGGACCAGAAAGCGAGTGCATAATTTATATTGCATCCAGAAATTCCGTTGTCATGTAAATTGCAGTTTTCAATTTCCGCTTGCAAATATTCTCCTGGCTCAAGCTACTCCCGTCTTCTAGGAGACTGTCCTTGCTTTGAATGTTAATACAGTTCCGATACCCAGGACATTTACATACCTTGTAGTTCACTCTATAAAATTATCGATATACTCTGTGTGTACTTATATCTATAATAAATACATTGGCCACACAAAACAGAGGGTCTAATAAAATTCTTGATTCGTAAATCACATACAAACTCCATTCGTAGATCCTTGATTTTAATATTTCAACATCTACTAATCTAGAAATACAGTAGTATTTGGGTACACTCTCTTTCGGGTAAGGAAACTTCTCCCGTTTTCAAGTGGCCTAAATCTACACCTACCTAATCATCCTATCTAAACTAACCTACCTTATTATTTTTCCACACATGTCATACTAGTCCGGAGTCTTCAAACCGATAAGTGTAAATGAATTTGGAGAGACCACTGTCAGGTGTCTAAAGTTAGTGTCGTAATCTCGCGGAACTAACGGAGGACTGTAGTTTTATAGTTTTTGGCTTATCTATGTATAATGTTTTGGCTAGGTAAATGTAGATTTAGGCCACTTTAAAATGGGTGGAGTTACCTTACCTCCCGAGAAAAAGTGTAGACAAAAGTCTTGAAGTAGCAAAAGTCAATTCGATCTTAAGTTCAATTACGTAGATTTTTTTCGTAAAACAGCTTAAAATTTTACAAGGGAATGAATGAGGTGTCACCTTTCATCCATTCACAGACTTAAAATGTATGATTATCCATTCGAATTTGTTTCATCCGGGAAACCAATTTGCGTTAGTCAAAACCAGATTATTTTTGGCCGAGTCATAGATGTGCATCTTTTGCGTCATTGTACAAAATCGTATCAGTAGTACAGTCACAAACATTTTATTAAGCTTGAAATGTTCAGATTATAAACTATAACACCGCAGCTAAATCGGTCCAAACACGAATCGAAATCCAATCTCTGAGGACCACGAAAGACATTTCTTCGTGTCCCAAATCGATTTCGGAGCGGCAATAAGAGCGCAAGCCTTATAATAACAGATGGGGCTGCGAGATGGCGGTGTGGTGGTTGGCGGGTTGGCGGGAGGCGTGATGTGGAGACCGGTTATCACGGAGCCATCAGCTGACAAACAAGCCGCCGAACTGGTTGTGTTATCAGACTGACGCTGATAATGTCCGCCCTCCTCGACCTCAATTGACACCAATTACCTTACGTCCGGCTCGGCGGCCAGACGGTGTTACCCCCTCTGAGCGCTATTTTACACTTCGACATACATTGTCACCTCTATATAGTAAAACGCAACTTTAAACTGCGTATTTTCGAATGATTAGTTTTTAGCTAGTCTCACATTGATACATCTAACTTGATAAATAGCTAAAACGGCAACTTATGTCAAAATGTTTGATTCTATTGTGTAAGCACATAACATATAGGATAACAAAAGCTACAAAGCTATAACACAATGAATGAGACGAAATAAACCAAATACAACAGTATGACCTACATTCTTTGCGAATCATGCAGCGTATTCAAAATGTTGTAAACGTTTGCAAATTGCATGGTTCAAAATAAACTAAGATATTTCTAACTTTATGATGTTATGTGTTTATATGGAAGGAGCATTTCACCATCTAAAGACCATGTTAAATTTAATCTGTCATAGTCAAGAAGCATAGAAAACCAGAGCCCGAATCATCTTAACGCTGTGTAAGTCTCCATAGTCAACATAACAAAAGACTAACAGTAGTGCCGTGGTGTGGTAGTAAACTATTCTGAACCTATTAAATTATGTTATAAGAAACATAACTTGGTATCAACAGTAGATCGTTTGTGTACTGATGAATTAATCTTATGTTACATAATTTCCACTTAGCCAATATAACAGATTATCAATAGGGTATCAATGGTTTGGTGGGTAAGTATTAAGAAGGCTACGTAATTTGTCAATAGGCAACATGACAGGGAATGAGTAGAACAGCGAATGTGTTGTTTTTAACAAAGCAGAAGCAATATTTTTTTCACAAAGCCAAAATAACCTAGATAATTACTAGAAGAGCTGTGTCGTGGAGGTTAAGTTTTCATAAGTTACCTACTTGGTTTTCATTAGCCAACATAACAGAGAATCAGCAGTAGGGTGGTTGTGATGTTAATTATTCACAAGCATCCAGTTTTTTTCTAAAGCCAAAGTAACCTAGAGATAACGAGTGGTGCGTTACGTAATTTTTCAATAGCCATCACAACACAGAATGAGCAGTAGAGTGGCAGTGTGGTCAGAGATTGATTATTCAGAAGCTCGGTTATTTTTCAATAGCCAACACAACACAGAATGAGCAGTAGAGAGGTAGTGTGGTCAGAGATTAAATATTCTGAAGCTACGTTATTTTTCAAAAGCCAACACAGCACAGAATGAACAGTAGAGTGGTAGTGTGGTCAGAGATTGACTATTCAGAAGCTAGGTTATTTTTTATAGCCAGCACAACACAGAATTAACAGTAGAGCGGTAGTATGGTCAGAGATTAAATATTCTGAAGCTACGTTATTTTTCAATAGCCAACACAACACAGAATGAGCAGTAGAGTGGTAGTGCGGTCAGAGATTGAGTATTCAGAAGCTAGGTTATTTTTCAATAGCCAACACAACACAGAATGAGCAGTAGAGTGGTAGTGTGGCCAGAGATGAAATATTCTGAAGCTACGTTATTTTTCAATAGCCAGCATAATACAGAATGAGCAGTAGAGTGGTAGTGTGGTCAGAGATTGACTATTCAGAAGCTAGGTTATTTTTCAATAGCCATCACAACACAGAACGAGCAGTAGAGCGGTAGTGTGGTCAGCGTAGTGTGGCGCTGCGAGCTCCGAGGCCGAACTCATTGTGATATGTAAATTATAGCTTTGAATTACCGCCGCCGCCTCATCACCTCCGAGCCGTTTTCTGTTTTCATCTCCCGGTTCTCGTCTCTTTAACCCATCTGATCTCGCCCCCGGGCGTCCGCTGGTTCTCTCGTCAACTCTCAAAACACCAAGGTTGAGAACCTCCGCGGTCTGTCCGGAAATTAACAATTTCGAAAGTGTTACCTGGTAAATCTACGTCTTTTGAAACTAAGTGGTTTCGGTGGCTTGCTAACATACTTAAAAAAATATTCCTTGCTTCTTCTGTTAGTTGTAAGATTTGATTAAATGTAAAAACCATGTACTCCAAAATGGAAAGTAATGTGGTCCTGGTGTATTTTAATTGTAACTAATGGTTATTTGCCTTAAAATAAAGGTTACATGTACTAAATTTGCTCGAAAATCATAATCTCTCGTATACCGTATACTTAATTATGAAATAGCGACTGTAAAAAAATACGTATTTCAACTAAAGTTTACAACCACTTCATTTTACAAATCAGAAAGGCATTTTACAGTTTAAGGTTGGTTTTATGGGTATTTAACTGATAACTGATCGTAGGCCTATGTGTATTGTTGCAGGGGCTGGATCGAAGGTCCTGTCTTCCTAGAAGGGGTTCCTAGCTACGACTACGTGATGCCAGCAGCGCCCAGCACGTTCCACTACTGAAGCTTCTCAACTACAGGACACCGTGCACCAGCTGACCAGAGGAGCATAACTAGACATTCGTAATTCCAAAAAGAAACATACAAAATCAACGCTTAAATCGTATTTAAATTCAAAATCAACAAAAAATTTAGTTAAATATCGTAAAAAAAAACAATAATTTAAAATACTTTCATGTGAAATTAAAAACTATACGGTAGGAAAACGTGTAACGAATTCATGTTTCATGTTGCGTATTTAAACTCGGCTGAAGTCATTAGGTTGGTAACCATAAATTACCTTATACCTTTGCGGTGGTGTAGAGTCTTCGCATGAGAGTTTCAGTGTAAATGCAACTACAGCCCAGTGATGCGATGATTGGCGATTAAATTACAAATTCTACTCATAAGCCCACTTTTTTGTATCAAATTCATTACTATTTTAACCCTACGGTCTTTTACGGTGTTTTCTTTTCTTGAAATTCTACGCATCATGCCCTATAGTCGAACTATTTTGAAGCTAAAAGAGCTAAAATAGGTAACATTATGTCTAACATATTGCCTGAAACATTTGGATTACAAACTTTGTAGTTACGAAAAGTCGGAGATGTGCCATGCCAGCAGTAGCCTACATCGTCAGGCCATGGTGTGGGATATGGTGTTCCTAAGTGAGAAAGACTTATTGAATTATTTATTGCACTTTCAACTATACTTGGAGGATTTAAGGCCAACGTTATGCCAAAGAATTATGATCGTCGCTTGTGATCAATTGTTATGTTCCTCATACAATTTTCGTGTTTTACAACTATGTATTACAATATATGCAATAATTTACATTCTTGAATGTGACATGTTGACATGTTAATATAAATACAGCATATGTTAAATGTAATTTTTTAAGTTTTACACTCCGATAAAGGTAACATACTTTTTCATTTTATTTTTAATTTTGCTCGTCATCAACTGTAAACTTATTGATCAAATTTAAGACTTAATAATTGAAATAGATAAAAATTCAAATGGAACAATTCATTTTCTTACATCTATTGTGACTGTTATACAAACTTTTATATGCTTGGATTAATTTATTGGACTTTAAAATAGTATAATCATATCTTTTTAAGGGGTAAAATATCTAATAAAAACATTTGGTGTTTAATTATAAATTGCACTTTTTCTTGTGTTTCCCATGTTTAATTTTGCTGATTTATCTAGTCATTAATCATTATTTATTTGTAAAAAACACTGTGTAGATAAAGTGGTTATTATGGAAAAAAGTCTAAGAGTATTTGGACGATTATATATTTCGAGCATAAATTTATGGCTTAGTGATTTAAATACTATTTTACACAATGCTATTTGTTTATTTAAGTAATACTATTACTGTAAGGAATTGTTTTATACCTTCTAAATGGTGCTACGAAATAAAATTGTATAAGTTATTGAAGGTTTTTCGTGTTCCTTAATAATATTTGAATTATTGTTAATGCTTGAAACATTCCAGCTGGTGTTATAAGTAACGAACGTAATTAGAAAATTAATAGTTACGCTAATTCCAATATTGGAGTTCTGTCCAAATGAAAACAGTTTACGAAAGACGTTGAGTTTGTATTGAATTACATTTAGAACAACATTTGTCAGATTAAATTATACCATCCTACTTTTCGTCCGATTTTACACATTTATAAACCATTATTACATTAATAGTACAATATATGTGCTTGTTGTCATCTCAGTAACGCATTTTATTTAGCTGCTAGATGCTATTTAATTTCATTGTATGCGCATTGCAAAGCTCAAAATTACATTTCGGAATAAAATATATTTTTGTTTGCTCATTCCATTTTGTTCAAAGCTAAAATCTGTACTTACGATATAATAATAGATACAATAGGTGTTTCAATATTTCGTTTCAAGCATTTAATTTATCAACATAAACTACTCGCGTAGATAACGTAGAAATAATTCGTTACTGGAGTACAAACCCATAAGTTCCTCATAGAATCGCTGAACTCATAGCTTAATATAAATGTTTTATCCAAGCTAGTTTGTTAGATAACTTCAAGTTATATTTTCCTTGTTCTCATTTCATTGCAAAGGTATAAAATTGTAAATGTACATTTTTGTAAATATTCGTATAATATATTTTCATAGTATTCATTCGACTTATGGTGTAAATAGTAGTGTAAGGTTATTTATGTAAATATTATATATTATATGACGATAATTCCTAAAAATAAATACATTGGTTTTTGCCTTGGTATATGGCTGTGTTATATGTTTTACCCTCAAACCCCAACATGCAATATAATTCTCAATCTTTTACTGATAGCTACACAATAACCTTAGGTTAGTTTATGTACGAATTGTATTTCATTCGTCCGTGTAATAAAATAAAGTATGTAATTTTTAAATGCATGTCATCATTTTTAATATATATATTTATGTATATGACTGTTCATGCTCATTCCTCACTAAGAGTTTAATTTGAATCATGTTGTAATTACCAACCTTTCAATTAATACTTTATACTCGTAAGGTCCAATAAAAGTATAAATGTAATGATTTATACTACAGAACTATATAACTTCAATAGGATTCAGCCTAAGTTAAAAAGAAGCCATTTCATTTTCATGTACAACACTGACATTTTATTACAAAATAAATGAAATCATAACAAATATATACTTTTCCTTTAGTTAAATTATACCTCTGTATCTCAGCCCTAAATACCTAATTATTTAATTGAAACAGTCTTACTTTATGATGGCCTTCCGTAGAGCTCTATTTTAATACAGGAACTCGTCTGTAAAAAAATATACAAATGCATAAATATTACTAATATAACTATTCTAAATATAAAATTTAAATTACCATTTTCTTTCGTACAGTGTACTTTTTGCAAGTTAACATGCTTATAACCTAATTTAACATATTTTAGTATTTGAGGTTAACCAACAGTGAATATTATTTTCCCATATCCATGTTCAATAGTATTTTTAATACAAATTTTAATTTCAGATTTTACTTTCCTAGATTATAATGGATAATAATATTTTGTACTTACAATGTCTACGATATTTGCCTGCCATGAGATACAGAATTATGAATGAAATCAAACTTAGTGAGGGAAATGAAAAAAGAAACAATGTTACCACTACAAACAATTCAAATAAATCAATTATGCTTCTTACATACTATAACTAAATTTGCTGGATTTTTTTTTTTAAACAAACAATATAAGAATCAGTATAACTTTTACAATCAATTTTCAAACCATGATACGTAATGTATATTTTTTGCTGAACTTAACGATTATTTTATATACACGATGGATTTATTTAACAATCTTAAGCCTGCGTTACTATTTAAAATTATAAAGAGCTGTTTCGTTCAAAGATTACAAAAATGTGTTAATCAATATTCAAAGACGACTGAAAACATTAATTAGTTAATTTAATAAATCAAAAATTATAATTCACTTTTCCATTAATATTGAAAATAAAACGTTTGAATTATGAAACAATTATATATAAAGCTTTTACTTTCATGAGAATGACCAAAATATTATACATAAACTAAATCATAGGCCCGATTGAGTTTTCAGGCAATATCTTTGCAAATAGCCTCTGCGTTTGCAATATGCCACAATATTCAGTATAATAAAGTTACTATGACACGATATACACAATTATAGCCATCCAATATCAGTGAGGCTTATTACGAGAAGCTATTGTTTCGTTTGTGTCAGTATTGATACGGTAGTGAGAACCAACCATTTTACATAAATACCCCTTAACTTGATAATAGTCCGTTTTTCTTTACTCAGACTGTGAACCCTATTTTAGACGAACTAGAATGATATAAAAGTAGTAACGATGCACTCATGAAAATATTGTGTGTAGACCTATATGATTTTATGTTAAAGAAATATGCTTACTAATAAGTGTATTTACAAAAAATAATATTGGGAGTCAATTTAGGTAAAACAAATCTTACAACTAAGGGTACTGTGGTTACTAAAAACATTGATTGTTATAAAAGCCACATAAAAAAATACAAATAACCCAAATGCTTCGATAATGGTAAGGTCTCTTGACCTGCAGCTCATTAAGTATTATTTACTTTGAGAAAAAATAAATGAAATATAATATTTATCACCTTTATTTTATGAAACATATCCGTGTTGTTAAACAATCACTAGACGAATTTCAATAATGTAAATATGTTTTCGACAAGTAACGTACGGATAACTGGTTGAATTTGACAATTTTTATAGGAAGTAAGTGTCACTTTGCCCGTTCCAAAATTCAAGACCCTAAAATTTACATCCTTGCCATTTATTATCGAAAAATAACATTAACACTCTCTCAAATGGTTTTATAAACGAAATTTAACTACAAACAGCATGCTTTCAAAATATTACCTTTAGTTTAACTAAATCAGATGTTTAGTTAAATCACTAAATTAATTGCAATGTATAAAGTGTAATATGTTATAATCAAGTTACGATAATTAAAAAAAGAATACTTTTTTTCCAACACCGAAGCACGCATGACACACACATCATAAAAGGCTTGAGATATAACAATAAGATACATCAATTTACACTTTTGCGTGTTACATTATCCAAAATCAACGATAGATTTTAAGGTATAACCAAATAGCATGTCGTGTAGTATGTCCTGTAAACGAAAAACCATCACAATAGTCCTAAACCTGGCAATATTGTTATATTATTATTGTTTCCACAAAAATATAGACTAGAAAATTATTCTCATAAAACTCTGCTTAAGAGCCGAGGATAATACGGCAACGGTTATAGAATCTAACTCATTTCTTTAATTAAGAATTTATTTTACCAATGATTTATTCTAGTTAAAATATTTTTTTAGTATTAAATAAATATGTTCAAATCAGATGTGTGGAATTGTATAATAAAGTACATTGACAGTTCGGCTAGTTTACATTTTAACATATTGTGAATTTGCTCTTTGATGCCATGGAGACCAATTAATATCTACCTTTAAAACTCTTTCTTACCTCATAACTTTCTACGCCCACAGGGCAGAGTCCTAGTTCAATATTGAAGCGAAAATAGTTCTGTATGTATCATCGGAGCTGTTGCTTTAATTTGTGTTAAATTTGAGCTCAATCTGCTCAGTAATTTTTGAATTTAGCTCATACAAGCACACACAAAGACAAGACAACAGACACCGCCTCTTCTTTATAATATTACTATATAAGAGATTAGTTAAAGGGGGTCTTACCCTTCTAATATAATTAATAGCAAGATAGTAACAAAGTTTCATGCTAGTAGGCCTATGATAGTTATATATTAAAAAAAAAGTTATTAAACTTTTTTTAAATATGTAGTATATGGGGACAGAACAGCAAAGAAACAAATGTCGATTGGCATGTCATTGTTTTAAAGGTGATAGTATAAAAATGAAATTCCTTATACGTCTATACTATAATATTCAAAGTTTTGGACGCTTGTATGGAATAGTGACCATAATAGATAAGATTAACAATTAAACATAAATATAATATAAATTTGGTTTGAACCTAACTAAAATATCGCTTCTTAACTAAACAAAATGATTTGTTTGTGAAATAGTTGATTATTCAATTACTGACCTGTAATTAATGATTAATTTATAACTAAAGTCATCTCATAGTTCATCATAACATACGGTAAGTCTAATTAACACCCTTTTAGTCAAGAAGACAAAGCCCTTGGAGTATATTCTGTTGTATCCATTAACGTCACAGAAAACAAGAAATTTAATGTTATTTGATTAATTATGCTCAGTTACAACAAATCAAAGAGTAAATACATTATAGTTATAAAAAAAACTTTTAATTTGCATTGTTGAAACTCAGAATGTAAAAGTGCCTCAAATCACGCCCACACACACCTATATACACACCTACACACACAACATTGGACATTTTAATTTTAGGCCTACACTCTGTGATTAAACAATTAAGTACCATAAACTAATTTTAAAATAAATTTTACTAATCGTATATCCAACAGCTATAATAATAATTCGTTTTGAAAAATCAGAGATCTGTTAAACTCAGAAGAATAATATTCCCTTATTAGAGAAAGCTTATATGTTTTGATATAATAAGTAGGCTATTACATTAGAAAATCCACATATTACAATATATATTATCAAACAAAAATCTTTAGACGATATAACAGTAAGGCAAAATAAAAATAAAATTTTATAAAAACTATCAAGTTCATATGAATGAAAAACGTTCAATAAAGGTCGTATATAAAGACAAAGAATATTTGTTGGCTTGACATGATATTCCCAGTCCTGAATCAGTGTTATGACAATGCGCGGGCGAATTGTCGATGTTTCGCTGGGTTATATCGTTATATCTTCAAATCTGACTTCGGTAAAATGTTAAGCGCTCAGCTCACAGTCTGCAGTGGATATACATTTCTTTTCTCAATAACTCTGAAAAATACATTTTGCAGCTTTATCAATGATTTTTCTGTAATATAAGAATATCTGTCTTTCTTATTTTTACTATGCCAAGACAAATTTGATATTTTACCGATTTGCATACCATATTTTTACTTGCGATCATCTCTTGCTATTTATGTACTAATAGTGAGCCGTGTGTCTCAAAACTCCAGTTAAAGCTACTGTTGAAGAGGTTTTATTTTCTATTTCGTATCTATAGGTATGGTAGTTAAAGCACAGTTTAAGTATTTATATAATATATTTTCAAAACCTGGAATTAATAAGATCGAAATCCCTCAATAATATCTGTTTTTTTTGTTACATTGATTCTCAGCTAAACCTGTATTCAGTTGGCGGCACAGTATACAGAGTGATCAACTCAAGGAGGCCACCATTGGGATATGTCGGAGACGGTAAGAGTTAGAGAAAACTTTAAAAGGGGGACATTGTATTTTATTGTTCTATCCGAAAACATGATAAAGTATAGAGTGTTCTATAAGCCATTTCAAAGTTGGCCACCGTGTTGGAAAATGGTGGCTGAATTTCGAAAAACTAAATTTATATTTTTAACTGCCACAAAAAATAAAGAAATGTCCCTCATGTAAAGCTGTCTCTAATTCTTACCGTTTCAGATATCCCAATGGTGGTTATGGTGTATTCGATAGAAAGTTACCATTGGTATTATGACTTTTACTGCAGATAATTTAAAAATAAAACATTCACTATTGAGAAGG